TTAAAAATGATGTGTAAGCGCTCGTACCTACTGACATTGAGGGTTGGGATGTTACATGCTCACATATAGGAGAATGGATTAGTCGGAGATCCATATCATGGCATGATACCTGTTAGGTAGAGAAACTATTTCATGAAAGAGTCTGAAACAAACACTCGGAGCTTCTTGCACTGTGTTAACAACTTATAACATGTAATAAGGCTCCAAAGATGGAATATGGTTGTGGATTTCTGTCCTGGGATTACACATTTCAGATGGAATTGAAAAACTACTAGAGTTATTTGTGACAATAATTCGACACTGTTATATTCCAATAATAAATCCAACAAGTTGAAACACATAGATATTACATTTCTTGTTATTAAAAAAAAAGTTCAGAATAATCATGAACATATTGGCACAAAACTCCATGGTTGCAAACCCATTTAGAAAAAGTTCATCGCCTAAGGTCTTTCATGAACACACTACTCGAATTGATGTTGTGTCTCTTAAAGATATGTCATTTTAGTGGGAGTTTGTATTTTGAATTATTTTTTATTATTATTTTATAGACAATTCGCAATTATTTACTATAATAATAAAGTCTATAGTTTATTTTTTTACTATAAATATGTTTTGTTTGATCTCACTAAAAAATAAGGTTAGACAAATTAAAAATAGTATATTAAAAATTATATTACATGCAATTTCCATGCAACGGATTCATATTTGATCCATATAATTTATTACACTAATATTGATGGATTTTGTTACATTACATAGTGCTTCGTCGATATTATGTTGATATAATTGATGGACTGAATTGATTAGAGATGTTTAGAATGATAAATAATTTTTAGGCCTATATAGTTATATTATGAAATATAATTATAAAGTGATATAATATAAAGATTAGATTCCTCAGGATGCATTTAGCTAAATAAAATGAAATAATATGCTTAAAATTTTATATCAACTAATAAACACACATTGTAATGATTGTAAATAGGGAAGATGTATTGTAGTTTTGTAAGCTGTATAATTAAAAATTTTACTATGGTTAAAATATTATAATTGTAATTATAAGTTAATATAGTTAACTATGTATAACACAGAGTCAAATCTAGTTAACATCTATTTTATGTTACTGGAACTCCTAATTTAAGTGATTAAAAATAAAAGGACTAATAATTATTTCTAATATTTGATATTCAATATAATAAAAATATGATATTATAATATTTTAACATCAATATTAAAAAAAAATGTGCAAAAATAAAAAATATTTTCCATTAATTCTATATTGTAAAGAAATTTGTAGAAATTTTAAATAGTGGAAACAAGGATACCCATTTGGCCAGTTTGTATATATATATATATATATATAAGAATGATTTTTATGGAAGTTAGATTTATATATATTTTTTAACAAAAATTTGTTTAATAAAGAAATAATTTTTTTATTTTGAATTAAACCAGTGGAGCGGATTAAAAAATTTCTAAATTAATAAAAAAATCTGATTAAGTGTATTTGGATTGGTTAAATTTCAAATTTCAAAATCTGCGGTCTAACGGTCAAATAATCTAAGGGTTTATTCATCGTCACCTATTATAAATTCAATTCTTCCCCCTCTTTCTCAGCCCTAAAACACATATCTTCACTTTCTGATGTACACTGCACTCTGTGATTTCCCCCTTTCTTCGTCTCAAGAGATGGATTTTCACAGCCTTTCAAGGAAAGAGCTCCAATCTCTCTGCAAGAGGAACAAGATTCCAGCCAACATGACCAATGTTGCCATGGCCGATGCTCTCGGTTCTCTTCAAACTGTAAGTTTTCCTTTTAATACTATGAAAAACTATGTTGATTTTCTGTGTATGCGTTTTGATATCTTGAATAACCTCCAGATCTCTTCATTTGCTCCATTTCCCTCAAACAATGCAAGAAACTTTTATTTCGATTTTTCTTCCTAATCAAACGGGAGTTTTCTGATCAGATTTCGAAATTTTTTTCTTGGTATCGATTTTTTGCGTTTTTCTCATTTCTACGATCCGATCCACGAAACTTTTTAATTTTATCAAATCAGACGGCACATCCTTTTCATACTTGGTGTTTGGTTCTCAAGAAACCACGAGAAAGAACGAAAGATAGAAAGAAAGAAAGAAAAAAAGAAAAGATGCCATGGATTTGTTTTTCTACCCTATTTTCATTTTCATAGTCTTCATTTAAGCGGTTCTTCGTGTTCAGGAATTTTTTTTTTTTTTGCAATAAGTAACGATATAATCTTTCAAACGTTCAACTACATTCTCACTATCAGGTTGAGGGACTGGATGATTTGATGAATCAACGTCAATCCAGCCCTCCTCAATCTCCTGCAAAACGCACAACTGGGTCACCAGTTAAGTCTCGCACAGCAACCAGAACATCAACTCGAAGAAAGCCTCTCAAAGAGGAGCCGCAGAGCTTGCAGCCCACTACGCGGACCCGCCGTGTAACAAGACGAGCAATCGCGGAAGAAATGGATCAAGAAAATATGAATGTATTAGAGACACCGTCCACATGGACAAGCCGGAGAAAGGCACAGTCGGCCTTGGAGCAACAGCAATCAGGGACAAATGTCATTGAAGATGGAGAGAAGGATAAAATTGTTGGTCAAGGACAGAATAATTTGCTTCAAACTCCTGCTACTCATACCTCCAGGCGGAGAGCCGCAGCAGCTTCTTCAAGGAAGGGAGCTGACAGCCAGCAGCGTGTGTATAGCACGAGGAGGTCTGTAAGGTTGCTAGAGAAAACTATGGGCGAGTTAAGCTTAAAGGAGAAGGAAGAAATCAACATTGATGAAATAGACAAAGATATGATAAAGGAGGAGAGCTTGGACGTATCTGGTATATTTTTGTTCTGTTCTCTTTATCGATTTTGCCATTTCTTCTCAGTTGCTGTGAAAATGAAGGGACAGAGGGCAATTTTCAACCCACTTCTTTTCCTTTAATTCTGAAATTGAAGATGAAAGATTGTTTGTTACTGGCTATTATGTTGCTTTTATGTTAATGAATTTTGACGAAATTGGGAAAAATATTGCAGGACCTTTGGGGAATGTTGACGAAATTTTGAAGCACAAAGAGCAAACCAATGAATCTGAAGCTTCCTCGGGGAAAATTTTAACTGGACCTTTGGAGAATGAAACGGAATTAAATGATAACAGTAATGTTAATGGTATAAATGATTGCAAAGAGAAGAGCTCTAATGATCTAGATAATTATCCTGTCCTAGATACAAATGATGAAACCCGGAATGACAAGACGGGTAAACCTGATGCTCGTGCTCATGTAAATGAAGAAGAGAAGAGCTCTAATGATCTAGATGATTATCATCCTGTCCTAGATATAAATGATGAAACCCGGAATGACAAGACAGGTAAACCTGATGCTCGTGCTCATGTAAATGAAGACTTGGTAGACAAGGTAGCAGATTTTGATGGAGCACTAGCAGGTATTTGATGTGGATTTTCTTTACCATGTTTGAGTGTTTGATCTTGTATCTTCTTGTTTCGGATAATGTTACTAAATGCTAAATAATGGTTGCAGGATGTGATGATGCTCCCGTTACTGAATTTCCTTCTGAACTTAACAGTGTGTGTGATGCATCAATGAATAGGGAAGAATTAAATGCCACTAAAAATACAGTGCTGGGAGATATTGGTATGGAGGTTTCAGAGCATGTTGCTGATGCAGTTTCTCGGGAAGAATTAAATGACATTGGTGTAGAACTGCCTGCAGGACTTAATCCATCAACTCTGCCATTGTCTGGTGATAATCCATGAACTTTACCATTTTTTGATGTTTGATGTGTCTTATATCTTCCTGTCTCGGATAAGGTTCCTAAATGTTAAATGATCGCTGCAGGATGTGACGATGCTCCAGTCATTGAATTTTCATCTGAACAAAACAGTGTATCTGATGCATCAATTAGCGGGGAAGAATTAAATGCCACTGAAAATATAGCACTGGAAAATATTTGTATGGAGGTTTCAGGCCATGTTGCTGATGCAGTTTCTCAAGAAGAATCAAATGGCATTGGTGGAGGACTGCCTGCAGTACTAAACCCATCAACTGTTCCATTGACTGCCGATGAGGGTCTAGATGGGAGCCCTGACAGTAAATGTCAGCAGTTACAAATGGAAGAAATATCAACTGAAGATTTTCAGAGTGGTTTTGGTTCTGAGAAATCAATGGCTCATCAACTGGATCAGGTTGAACCTTCAGGGGAAGTCAACACTGTTGACAGCAGTCTCGCAGTGATGGATATGTGCAACACCGAACAGCATGACTTTCCATCCAAGATGGAGGGAAACCCATCAACTGTGTTATTGTCTGATAATGACCTAGATGAGAGCTCCGACAGGGAATATCAACAGTTGCAAAGGGAAGAAATGTCGAGTGAAGATATTCAGACTGCTTTGGATTCTGAGAAATTGATGGCTCATCAACTCGATGCAGTTGAATCTTCAGAGAAGATCAGCACTCTTGGAGTAATGGAGATGTCCAACACTGAGCAACACTGTGCACCCAAGACAGCGGGAAGTGCTCATGTCGAAACTTCTGTTGGAGGATGCGTAATGTCCTATGAAATCTCTCCCCTGCCAGATCCAACTGAGAAAAAAGTTTCAATCGGGTTTCCAGTCTCTCCATTTGCATCAGACTCAGTTTCAGGTCAGTTTCCAAGACCAACTCTGTCAACACCAGTGAAATCTTCAAGCAAAAAGCAGACAACAATGCAGAAGCTGACCCATGTGGCAGACGAAAACAACAAGGAGAACATTGGCAAGAGTGAGAGGGGAAATGATAAGGTGAAAAAAGTAAAGAACATCATTGATGCAGATAGCTTAAAAGACATCAGTCTCAGGCAGTTAACCAAGATGGTGAAAGAACTAGAGATTAGCAAAAATAGAAAGAAGTCTGAGGTGGGTCTTAAATTTTCTTGTGCTTTCTCAACTTATATATTGTTGTTGGTTCATATTTTCTTTTAGTAACATCTTTTACTGTTTAATGGAGAAGCAGGTAGAAGAGGGAAAGGGCAGGGTGGCATTGCAGAAACTGACAGAGAACAGCATGCATGTTGCTGAACTAGAGAAGAACTGAATCAAAAAAGTCAGGAGTTGAGTAAATCTTTTGCTCTTGTTTTTTTTTTCTTTGTAGCGGTTTATATGTCATATGATGGAGTAAAACATGAGGTTTGCTTCTGTCAGTCAGACAAATAAAGAAGAGAAACTTTTGAAGCAGGAATTCAAAAAACAGAAATGCTTTGCCTGTCCTTTGGGCTATTGTTAAAATTGTGAAGTTTATCTTTTTTACTTTCTTTAGGAAGTGACTCCAATTCTTGTCACCAATATTTATTGAAGAGCCTGAGTTCTTTTTACCAACTTAGTCTAAGAATTTTGCTTGAAGCTTATTTAAATCATTATAATCTTTAAAATCTGAAGCCATACATGCTTGTAAAAAGAATTTTTGGAATCTTGTAAAAACCTGCTTCTTTATTTATATATTTTGTGACACTAAACTCGAGTGATTTAATCTCTGCACCTCTAAGTGCTTATTTATCTGCCAAATAACATTTCATCGGTGTACCCAAAAGCAGCAATTAGATAATAAAAAAATATTGTAACATTTCATTTTATTTAAATTTATTTTTTTAAAAAAAAATTGTTCATTAATTATTTTTTAGTAGAAAAATTGTTAATTTATTTAAATTTATATAAAAGAATATTAAAATAATAAAAACAATAAAAATTAAATTTTTGAAGTAATTTCCTTCATATTGAAATTTAAATTACTTAATTTAGATAATAATTTAACATGCTGCTATTATTATTATTATTATTATTATTTATTATTATTATTATTATTATAGGAAGTGCTCTATTTTGGTTCCAAACACGATCATCTAACACCACAAATCATAGAAGGATTTAACATTGTCATTCAGAGTACAACAAAATGGCCTCTTTCCAGTAAATTTGCTGGCCATACTCAATAATTATCAACATAAACTTATATATATATATATATATTAACCTCGTAAACCGAAACAGGAAAATGGGCCAAGGTAAAGGATTTACAAGGAATGTATAAATATAAAGATGCCACCATTTTCTTTGTAACTCAATGAACTAAAATGTCAAAAGAAAGTTGTGGTTACAAAAGCATCACCTGGAAGGAAGATCAGAGGGTTGAGCGGTGAGAGAAGGATTTGATGAATTAGAAGGGAGGGGTCCATTGTCTTGAGAATGAGATGCTGTGTTGCCCCACTTCATCTCTACATCACATGGCTCCACCACGTGTACTGACCCGTCACTCATCCCGACTGCTATCTGGTTTGGCTCTGATGGATGACCAGCTATTACCAATGGATATGCCGTGTTGCTGCTGCAATGCATTTTGTCATCAGTGCCAAAATACTCTTCATATATCCAACTTATCAATGCCAAAACACATTTTGCTGTATGCAGTATGCCTACCTCACGCCCAATGAAGGTATGTATGCAGATGGTGCTATTCGACATCTAAGTCGTAAGTTGTCTGCATCAAAAACTCCAACAGCACCATCACAAAAACCAGTATAAACCAGCAAACCATCACATGAATAAATTGCACTTGAAATAGGAGCTGGAAGGGCGTCTTTCGGGGACCACTGCAAGATCATATATACCCACCATAGCTACAGATTAGATTCAATAAATGCAGAAATTAGAAACAGACTATGTGAGTAAAAGTCACAACTGCACAATATGCAGACTAACATATTATAAAAAAACCATAAGCTTTAGGCCTGCGGTTCTTAGCTCCTATGGAAGGTTAGATAACTTACATGTTCAAACCTTACCAACTAAAAAAGAAAAAAAAAAAAATATATATATATATATATATATATATTGCATTTCCCTTGTTGCATACAAAGCTCAAACTCAGTCTCACTGTCTGGATACTCCAAAGAAAGTGCATGTTCAAGCACTAAAAATAAACTAACTTAATTCTGACATTCAACATTAAATTAAAATCAAATCAACATGGAGCAATTTGAGAGTCATCAGTTTTTAAAACAAAAAGGCAGAGGGGAAAAAGGACAACCCACTTTCCCTTCAATTTTTTTCTGAAAAACAACTCAACTTGGAAGCCACATTAATCAATGATAAATTCCGCAAATTAATACTGCAATTGTAATTCCTTCCAAATAGTGTTAGTAACGAGCTATTACGTTATCAAACAGTAGAGTTCAGCCAAAGATCGGTTTTGAGCTCAGTGAAAATCGAGCTGCAGCTAACTCGAATTTGAAAATGCTTAAATCAAAACCTCGCGAAGTACATAATAAATATGCTATGACCAATAACAGGCAACACAACTATTTAAGAGTCTGATTTAGAAGAGAGGGACCAAATCAAGCAGCAGGCAGAAAGTCTAGGCAAACAGCAAAAGGATCTTTTCAGTTAGGGTTAGAATCTTTTGTTTTAGAACTTCATACTTTTCAGTCATTTAAATAAATAAAACTCCTTAAGAAAGCGCTAAATCATGACAATTATTCAAAGGTTTCAAAAGAAACTTAGCAATTCTTCCTCATTCATTTCAACAGAGCTCTTGGGTACCCAACTAGCCCATTGAAATATACATTATAATTAACATTTTAATTCTGACAGTTTCAAGGATGACTAGAGCATTTGGGTTCTCAAGAATTTTGGGATCTCTTCAAAGATTTTGTGATTCTGCTTCTGAATAACACCAATTAAACACCAATTAAACTATCACATACTTTTCTTAAGGAATATTTTACTATATTTTATAAGGATTGAAGGGATTCTTCGTTGAAGCTGAACCTGGCATCACATAACAGTCTCACTGGGCTTCAGATGATTTCTCATAGTTTTAATTCCTTTGCTTTTCCATTTTTGTGGTCTCTTTTTTCTATGGCCACAAGCAAAGCCTGTGTCCATAACCTAGGATTTGAACTCTCTTTCTGAGTAGAGAAGAGGACTAGACCACAGGATTTAGCCCAGCGTTAGGGTTTGTCTATTTTCAGGCTCGTGATCAAGCAGTAAGTTGGAGAATGAGAGCCACTTCCTAGCCATCATCAAGTTCATTGGGTATATAGAGTGGATTTTAAGTTTTATCTGTTATATATTTTAATCATACATGCTTTTTAAAGAAAAAAGAACTATATTAAATACGAAAAGAGGAGACAGAGGATAAGCTATCCTCCAAGAGGACAAAAAGAACCTACAAGGAAATAAAGAAAACCAAGGAAGCAGTAAAATATAGTAACAAATCCCTCTGAGCTTGATGAGCTTCAATTTGTTCTAAATCAATTGAGCTCTAACTTTTTAAGTCCTAGTACAGCTAAACCAAAGCCAAAAATTTAAATTTAATTCCAGCTTTGAGCCTCAAATCTGAGCCAAGCCTAAATGTTCCCTCGTTCGGCTCAGCTTGCTCTACTACAATTCCTACTTCTAAGAAAAAGCAATTCACAACGTGAGGCAACAAAGTTTTACACATTACAAAATTCTCAAAAATCTACTTGATAAAATCCATCAATCCCCTGAACCTACCACCAAGAAGTAGAATTTAACAATAGAAAATTATGCTGATCAAGGTGGAAGTTTTATAGTAAATTACTTGTGCCTAGGCTTTGAACCAGAAAAATTGTGATCCAGTTCCCCATTTATGTGCCAATTATTCAGGCATAGTAACGAGGTCTCATAACACAGCCAAATTCAACTTTTTATTAGACATGTTTATCATGAAGATCTAAACCACCCAACTTCCATATGATAATGAAGGATAATGGAAATGAAGAAACAAACAAAATAGTTCACCAACTCTGTGCTACAAAAGAAAGTCCATGTGTATAAGAAAAAATTTTTTGAAATAAGCATGTGCATAAGAAATTGAAAATATATTTGTATAAAAAATTGAAATGGAAAAAGGAAAGCTTAAATAGTTGCAGTATTTCTACGTTACGTGGTTATAGTAATGAGATTCGTGCATGTGTTTGTGTGTGTGGTAAGGATCCATGTTTTTCGCCCTATATTTGTCATGTCCAAGAAAATTATGCAAGTACCACAACATAATGAGAGGATGATTGAACTTACAGAACGAAGACATTCAAGCTTGCTGTCATAAACAGCTATTTGGCTTTCATGGACAACTAATAGATGTGTTTGATCATTATGAAACTGAACTTTGGTCTCTCCAACCAATGGAGATTGACGACCAGCTGGTACTTGTATGAACCTTGATTTCTTTTTCTCCCATCCATCAATGTTCCAGACACATAACTGCAAGTGAACTTACATAACAGTTAATAAAACACCATGCAATTACAAGTGCTAATGCAGAAATCAACAGTAGGTAGACCCCAATTTTAGTATCAAGGAATTCTCACAAGATGTCACGTTTCTTTTGTTCAGGCTCATAATTTTTCACATGAGAGCAATGATTTCATCACATGTTCAGATCTCCAAGTTATTGCATTCAATGATTTAATTACTGGCAAGGGCAAACAGATTGAAGACCACATCTGTTTGCAACTCTCCACTAATATAACCATTTCATAACCTGTCTGGGTTAAATGCAACTGTTCTTGCCATATGTAATATCTAGTGAAA